AAGCCCCCCGTGGTGCCACGTTCTGGCCACCACTCCGCCTGTCGCTTGGCACCAGTTGGGTCTTATAAAGCGGGGTGAGAAACCTCTGGAGCTCTGAAAGCCAAGCTATTCAACTCACTCCAGGTAGGGACAGTTAGAGAAGCACGCACCGCTTTACGTCTTTAAAGAGGTCTTGCACATCTTCAGAAATCCTTTGAGTGTTGCAAGTAAATCACTCACCACTTCCATGCCTAGGCACCCTGTGGACATTCAATAAATAGTTATTGATGGCTTTTTGCCATTCACCAAAATAAATGGCTCTGAATTTCTTTGAGAATTGTGTGTTCTCGAGAGCGAGGATTTCCTTGGAACTCAGCTACAGTTTAGTAAAAGAAAATTGAAGTTTTCTAATTCTTTGGGCATCAGTCAATAGGGAGGAATCTATAATTTTCATAAGATGTCATCATCTACTAGATTGACTAATAATGGACATTTTGGTTTGGGACTATGTGTTTATTACATGCTGGTGGAAATTATATGTGAAGCAGTTATAGAGGCTCTCAAACAATTTAATTACCATACGGAGTTTTAAAATATAGTCATAGATGCTTTTCCCTAAGTATGAAAAAGAAACCCATTAAACTTAATCAACTCTCAACTCTTGGGTACTATAATTACATTTTACATTGAAATAACCTTTTTCAGCTTTAAATGTTTAAACGTCTTCCCAAATATTTCTTTTCATAGAACAGCAAGTACACATGGTTTATGTGCTTTGCAGAATATCATACATACATTAATGGTAAAGTTGTAGGTAGAAAGTAATACTCCAATAATACATAATTTCCTTAACTTCCCCTGCTCTTTGGCATTTCAGTATATAAGATCCTTCCCTCTTCCAAAAAATACCACAAAATCTCCAATTCTAAACCTCAAGAGCTAAACTACTTTGTCACACACACACAATCAGAACATTTTAATCATAATGAAGATGATATTGTAGTTGTAAATAAATTGTATTTTCATTCAACCTTGAGACCTCGTGTTTAGAGTAGCAGAAAGGGCATTTGATTTTGACAAAACCCCAGCTCTGCCACTTTTTGCTGGTAACATCTTGGGCAAGTCACTTTATTTCTCAATCTCTTTACAACAAATAAGAATAACAATACCTGCCTGAAAGGGTTGAGGTGAGGATTAAAAGAATGAGCTTTATGTAGGAAAGAGTACTATACAAACATAAAGTAGTATTATAATTCCCTATTTCTCCAGGCTCAGCAGGGTTTTAGTCAAAGAGAAGCCAAGTGATTTTCCCACAGCACTAAATTATAAGTACTTTCAACATAGTCATCTTTTTCTATAGTTGAATTTAATGATGAAAACTGAAACTTACCATCCCTAGCACAATATATTCTTGCAAAAATCCTTTAATCAATTCAATTCAATATTTTTAAGAGGCTTTTATGCTTAAAACAAAGTATTAGGTACATAAGGAATACAAAAATGAGTACAGCCCTGTTGGGAAAAGACTATTATAAAAAGCACTATTTGAGTACTGTAATAGAGATAAAAGCAAAGTATAATTAAAAATGTATTTACAAAAACAGGAGACCAGTCCATGCATGCCTTAGTGTGTCAATTAAAATATTCCATTAATATATTTATCTTGATTGCTGAGCTTTGAATTTTGTGCTCAAGACAAACATCTCACCTACTGTAGCTTAGTCCTGGTCCTGATAAATGCATGAAGAGCAGAGGTTAATTCCTACTGGGGGATTGATGAGTGCTTCATAAAAGAGCTGGATCTTAGAAGATGGATAGAATTGGGGCAACTTCTGAAGAGAAGAAAATGATTAATCTTTACCACTCCATATGATTACTCTATGGACCAATCTTTTCTTCCTCTCTTGCTATTAATATTATACTTACCTTAGCTAAATCTGCAAAAGTAAAAGAAAAAATAGCTATTAATATGCTATTGTTGAATTCCATTCTATATTTTTTCTCCTCTCTACTTTTTGTCTCTTTAGTGCATATATGCACTTTGAAAATTCTTAAGAAATCCTTAAATTCTTATCATCCCACAGTTCCCATTGCAAAAGTGTTATCCTTTATATTTGTGCAAAATATACTACTGGTACATCTTCACATAACCACTTAGTTCTTTTTTTGACAAATTGGAGGGTGTGTGTGCGAGAGAGAGAGAGAGAGAATATCACAGTTATCTAGAAACTTAACCTAAAATAACAAAATAGTTTCAATTAATACCTTAATATGTGTCTCATTCAGGAATTGTGTTTACCTACCAGTAACTGTGACTAGAAATAATTATGTCGTAAACAAGATAGACATTATTACTTTTTTAAGTAAAAGAAGTGCAGAAGAAGCATCCCAGAGAAGGTGTCCTAGCTCCACGGTTATCTGGGACCCAGGTCCCTGCTATCTTAATCTTTCACCATCCTAGTGTGAGGTTTCCATTCTTAAGGTTGCCCTATGGCCCATAGTGACTGCTGGAGATCTAGGCATCTTGTCTGCAATCAAGGTCAGAAGGAGTCCAGAAAAGTATCCTATCTAGAAGTTTTACACAACACTTCCATATGGGCCAAAATTTAATCACATGATACACTCAGCTGTATTGATTGGCAAATAGTTTTGGGTCTGAACTCACAGCCCAGGATTGTTACCAAATGAGAATGGAGTAGCAACAAGGGTGTGATTTTTTTTCTTTGTCTTTAAGAATTATACGGCCAAGACCAACAATAGGAAGAAAAAAAGTATGGTATGATTTTTAAGTCTATGTGCTTGACTCTATAAGTTAAATGACTGGATTTTAAAACACAAGTTTCTAAACTTTAGAAAGTAAAAGTTATCTGCTTTGAAGCTTAAAAAGGAATTCATAACTTTTAAAAATACTATAGGTTATATTTGAAATCTAAATATATATTTCTCTTTTTTAAAAAACATTAATTCCATAATGAAAATGTCGATGTTGGTTATTGTCTATATAAAGAAAAGTTTAATCTTATTCTAGCAATCAGCTACTTTTTATCTCTCTTGTTCCCTCTCTCTTTATCACCATCCCCCTAAACCTCCCCCGCTCTTAACTTGTGTCAAATTGTTTTTTAGCATTTAACATTCCAAAAAGAATGCATCCTGTAGAAGAGTTTCCAACCACATGAAGTTTAGAATTAAGACAATTATCTGATAATCTAATCCAGGCAGAAACTTTACTTTCACTTTAATTATTCAAATAATTAGGATAATACCGAGGGACTTACTAGATTTCCTTAGATAATTGTTTCATTTTTCAACTATACAGTCCTAATGCCATTGCCCAGTAACAGATATACTTCCATTTTTGTAAGCAATATTGAACTTTTTTTAAAAGACAAAAGATTCCTTAATTCCCAGATATTTGAGTCTCAATTTTTAAACACTTTCTAATTTCTTAACTATCACCCAGCCTTTTCCCCAATCTTCCCACAGTAGCTCTATTAAAAGGCAGTTCAGAAAAGCAAATTTCCAAGTACTCTGCTCTACTTTCCTTCCTATAGGCATAGCTACTCCCTCCTCTTTAATAAGTCCAGGATTTGAGCCTACTGTGTCCAAAGCAATAGATATTATATAGCAATATTTTTAAGTATCCTCAGTTTGGTATCCTAATTCAAAGAATATTAATGAAAATGATTACTTTATATCAAAATTGTTTTTAATTTAAATAATTACCCTTTTAAGCAACGTCATTCTCAATTTTTAATTAAAGTACATGGAAGAGAAAATAGATTTCTTAGAGTAATGAATTATATGGTTCAATCCACATGCTGTCCTGTATATTTGAAGATAATCCTGTAAGTGGTGATGTCAGCGATAATAACTGTTATAATTCATCTTCCTCTTCTTATTTGGTAATAGAAAATTACTTATAGTAGCTATGAATATTATTAAAAGCCCACATTCTCTAGCCTCACTTGAATCTACATGTTGCCCAGGTAACTATATTCTGGTCAATAAGATATAAGCATTAGTATTGTGAGGACCATGGAGGAAGTTTCTTAGAAGGGCCAGAAGATCGCCCTTTTGTCCTCTTTTGCTTTCTCCTGGTGCTGGCTTAAATGGAGAAATGACATCTGTAAGCAACAAAAATCCTATTAGACCATGAAGTGACCTTGTAATTAGAAGCTAAGTGCTAGGCATGGTGAAATAGGAAAATAGAATCTGGATCTTTGATGACCATGAAGCTACAGTAACAGCTCTAATATTCCTACCCCTAGATTTGTTTTCATGAGCAAGAAATAAATGTTTATCCTGATAAATTACTACAATTAGGGGTATTTCTAATAAGTACAGCTGAACATATAATCCTGATGACTATTTTTAATTGAAATTACTGCTTTGTTTCAATAGTTTCTTTACACTGTGGTCACACAAACACTACTTTTTAAATGTTTTTCTGAAGACATTATTTACATTGGTTTTTGTTTTCTCTTTTGCCTTATGCTATAGAACACTACAAGTTTTCTAACTAATATTCATTCTCCTTTTTATTTTTATTGTCAGGACCATAATTTTGTTTAGGGTAGCAATGTGTCCAGCTAAAATACTGGGAATGATCATAGGGCACAGCTCTATCTCATAAGTTACAAGGAGTAATATTCTAGGAATTCTGAGTTTTTTCTTTCCTAATAAGCTCTTTGTCTTCCTTCCCATAAGGCTAGAGGGTGGAATATCCATCTTGCAACCAAGAGTCAACAGGTATAAAGACTAATGCCACAAGTTAAGGATGACAGATGAGAAAGACAAACAGAGTCATTGTATGAGCCCCTGGACTGCCCACATCCAAACTTCTTGTTTTAGGAGAAAAATAACCTCTATTGTTTTTAGGCATTACCATTGGATTTCTGTTGCCCCAATTTAAAGAAACTGAACAGAATCCAAAAATTATACCCTATTACAGCCCTTTTCAACAAAGGTCACATCATTCCTGATAGCT